GCAGAAGCCGAAGCCGAAAGTCTGAAGGGAGACCTGGTGGGGCACCTCCTCGATCCGCGCTTCCGTGCCGCCGATTATCTGCCCGGTCGGGAAAAGGGGGTTGAGCGCAGGTCTCGACATCGGGCTCGCTAAAAATGTTTTCTTTTTTCAGAAACGAAAAGAACGCGTTTGATCGTTCTTCGGTGAAGAGAATGGCGAAGAGGGAACGTAGAGATAAGTTAGGAGACAAGGGAAACAAGATTCGTCTTGGTTTTGGTACAGAGGAGAATTAAATTGAGGAAAAGGAAGAGGAATTTTGAATTAATATCCTTTTTGAGAAATTTCAGCATTTGGAGAATTAAAGATGTATAATAATTTATGATGTATAAGTGTAACTATGTATATAAGTGTAATTATGATGTGTAACTAGTTTACTTGAGAAAAATATGAGTTATCTTGGTATAGAGGAGGATTAAAGTGAGAAGAGGAAGTTGAATTTTGAATTAACATTCTTTTTTGAACGTGAAAAATTTGAATATTTGGAGAATTAAAGATATAGGTAATTGAAGAAAAACAAGTCATCTTGATATAGAAGAGAATTAAATTAAAAAGAGGAAGAGAATTTGAATATTTGGAGAATTAAAGATATAGATAACTAGTTTAATAGAGAAAAAAGATTCATCTTGATACAGAAAAAAATTAAATTGAGAAGAGGAAGAAATTGAAATTTGAACTAACATTCTTTCTTGAACATGAAAATGTGAGTATTTGGAGAATTAAAGATATAGATAACTAGTTTACTAAAGAAAAACAAGAGTCATCTTGTTATAGAAGAGAATTAAATTAAGAAGAGGAAGAAATTGAATTTGTGAAATTAACATTCTTTTTTGAAGAATTAAAGATATAGGTAACTAGTTTACTGAAGAAAAATAAGATTCATCTTGGTAGAGAGAAGAATTAAATTAAGAAGAGGAAGAAGTTGAAATTTGTGGAATTAACATTCTTTCTTGAACATGAAAAATTTGAACATTTGGAAAATTAAAGATGTAGATAATTAATTTACTTAAGAAAATCAAGAATTGTCTTGGTAGAGAAAACTTAAATTAAGAAAAGGAAGTTGAAATTAACATTTGAATTAACAATCTTTTTTAAACATGAAAATATGAGTATTTGAAGAATTAAAGATATAGGTAACTAGTTTACTGAAGAAAAATAAGAATCATCTTGGTATAGAGAAGAATTAAATTAAGAAAAGGAAGAAGTTGAATTAACATTCTTTCTTGAACATGAAAAATTTATTGAAGATATAGATAATTTAACTATTGAGAAAAACAAGAATTATCTTGATACAAAAGAAAATTAAATTAAAAAGAGAAAGAAGTTCAATTTTTAGAATTAATTCTTTTTTAAACGTGAAAAATGTGAGTATTTGAAGAATTAAAGATATAATTCACTGAAAAAAAACAAGAGTCATCTTGATATAAAGGAGAATTAAATTAAGAAGAGAAAAAAGTTCAATTTTTAGAATTAATTCTTTTTTGAACATGAAAAATGTGAGTATTTGGAAAATTAAAGATATAATTCATTGAAAAAAAACAAGAGTCATCTTGATATAAAGGAAAATTAAATTAAGAAGAGGAAGAAGTTGAACTAACATTCTTTCTTGAACATGAAAAATTTAGTATAAAATTTGAAGATACAGATAATTTACTTATTGAACAAAAACAAGATTCATCTTGATCTTAAGAGAGGAGGATTATAAAGAGAATTAAGAGATGAAAGAATGTTAAAATTTTTAAACCAAATATTGCTTCGAAAAATGAATAACAATTGAGGATAAAACAATTACCTGTCGCGATGGCGATTAGTGCCAATAAATTCAATTTGCCGTACATCTTGTCACGATTTGGATCGAACTGCTTTTCCTAAAATTCGTACCCTATTTATATGAAAATGAATATCGCGTGTAATGAATATCTCGTTGCAAAATCGTGTTATCCATCGATAAATGGGCTTCAAAAAAAGCTAGATTAAATATTCGTAAATCCATCGATCTCTACGAGGATTTAATACGAAATTGATCGATCTATCTACCGACAGACATCTCTCCTCTTCTCCGTTTCTTTCTTTCGCTTTATCGCGACCGATAAAATCTTCGAAAGAATCAACGAATATTCAATCGGAATATTCAAATAAAGAAATATAAGATATGTATGAAAAATGGAACGATACACACACACACGTACGACAAGCGATAAATCACTAATGTAGATATATTCTTTCTTCATTATCATCGCTATCTCAGCTGCATTCGATCCCTGAAATGAAAATCATTATACGAATTATCATTTCATACGTTCGAAATCGCGACAATTGGATAAATGGTTTGATATTCGCAACGATCCAACCATCTCTTATCACGCGATTATGTAGTTAATATGTTATATTATTAAACGTAACGATAGTTCAGCTCGAGATTCATATAAATCTACGATTCTGAGATAATCTATCTCACCGATCTTTGTCTTTTTTTGTCACATTTAAATTGTTAAAGTTCCAAAAAAAAAAAAAAACTATATTATATCTTGCTTAATTAAAGCATAGAATATTTCGAAAAGTAGAAAAATATTGGAAACAATTTCGATTTGAAGACATATCAAAAATCACATACATTTTTTTCTTTGTCTTTTCTTTTTGAATATCTCCATATATAAAAATACCAAAACGAAATATCATAACTTTGGAAGGAAATGAAACTTCTATAGATAAATAACAAAAATTTTTATTCTCTATACAATTTTTATTTACACGCAATTAATATATATTTTACATATATACATCCACATAAATATATACACAATTATCTCGTCTTTTAATCAAGTTTAAAAAACGTTACCATATTATACAAGATCACTTAAGCCTAAGCCTTAATTGTCTCTCTCGAATAGGAAAAAAAATCATTTCGAGTTAATAATCAATATCAATTTCCAAATATTCAAAAATATCGATACACTCACTTTTCGACCTGAAAATTCAGACTCCGCTGTTCTCCCTCACCCATTCCCGGTAATAAGCCACGTCCGTGTAGACACCTGGGTATTTAGGCGTTCCGCACCCCATCCCCCAAGAGACGATGCCGACCAAGTTTCCGTCGACGACCAAGGGTCCCCCCGAATCCCCTTGGCAAGAGTCCTTCCCCCCCTGCGGGAATCCGGCGCACAGTTCACCCTGGGGCACGCCGCCGAACTTCGAGTAATCCGTGTCGCATTCCATCTTGGAGACGAGGGGGACCGAGACCTTGTGGAGGGCGACGGGGATCTTGAAGTTCGTGCGGCCCCAACCGGTGACCAAACCGTATTTCCCCACGAGGGATGCCGAGTCCCCTTGATAGAGTTGGACGGGTTTCGTCGCGTTGTTAAATTTGAACGAGCCCTGGACGCGGAACAGGGCTATGTCGTTGGACGGTACACCGTTCTCGTCGGTCGTGTACTTCTTGTGCCTGATTATCAGCTCGACCTTGTGCAACGAGCCGCCCGAGTTCACGTTGGTCGAGCCGGATCGTATCTCGTACGTGG